AATGGAGGGTGAAAATCAGCCCCGTCAAAAAACGGGGTCAATTAACGCAACAACCGAACGGACAAAACAGAACCGTTCGTTAATGTTCACCGATCGCCCATTCCCCACAAAACCAGTGTCTTTTCCGGCCACCTCTGACTCGCCCTCGCATTGAATGAGCAAGCCAAATGACGTTTGACCTAAATTTCAGCCAAGCACACGTAGGTCCAAGACCCACGCTCGCCACAGTCAACTCACACACACACACACATAAACACACATACACACACATGAATGGATTGCGTGTGGGAAGGCTACTTTGTCTTCGCGATGTGCGTGCGTGCGGGGCTGTGTAATGGTTTGCGCTTGCACAACCGACTAAACACAACGGACTGTCCCCTCTAGTGGAGGATTCATCCGGACGGATGAAATTAAACTGGTGAAGGAATTCGTATCTTATCGATCGCGTGCAATGGTCANCTAAGAGTCAGTTTCCCCTTGCTGGTCCCAAAATGATGGCACGGGAAGCGTGATGTTGTTGGTAGAACGGGCCATAAACGAAGCGAAGAGGCAATCGATTGTAGAATAACGAAGAAGGAATGGTTATGATGGACGCAGGTGCGATCCGTACAGAAACTGACAAAGAACATCAGTTGGTATAGGACGTAAAGCGAGGATTGTATCGATATGATACAACAGCATGCATCTACTACGATACAGGTGAGCGAGCTGATCTGTGGGACAGAAAATAGTAAATTAAAAATGGGGAATTCAGTGGTCCCGAGTTAAAAAACACGCGGCGAAAATTGTTACACTAGCATTCCAATTATTCAGAAACGCTTGCAATTTTTCTGGATCTTCACATACCAGCACAGTGTCATCTGAATACTCCATATTAAACAGTATTATCATCTGGAAGCAAATCGATGCCGCCATCCTCGCACGAGGATAGGTCTGTTTCCAGAATCAGACCCACTATAAAGTTGAACAGTATGAGTAAGGAAGTGCAACCCTAACGAACACGGCTTACCATAGTGAAAAGTACCGTAAACTCGGACTCGACTTCGACTACTAGTATATAGAGATCGCAAAATTGAAAAAGATTCTGGGGCACACCCTTCGGAGAGAGAAAGCCAGATTACAGAGCGGTCGACCCAGTTGAAAGCCACTTACAGACTGAGGAGTATAGAACTGGTGGGTCTAAGAAAGGAATGTCTGTGTTCTAAAATTTGGCTGAACTTTGGTACTCAAAATACGACGGAACCAACTATCACAGATGATCATCTTCTATACAAGCAAAAAAAGTAAGGCCATAGCAACGACTAGACAACTCAACGAGGAAATGACAAAAAAAGTTAATTTAATAGTAAAACGTCTTGTTCCTTCGTAAAACTCGACGAAACGAAAATAAGGATAAATTTGAACAAACAAATTTACTGCTGGCAGATACGTGAATGAGAAAATCAGACACCTGTTCTCCTATTTGCCACTGGTTCCACCCACATTTGAAATGTGAAAACTGTTCCCTTTGACTGTTGTTAATACGTCGAACAGCAATTCGGTGAGAGAGAGAGAGAGCAAAACTGAAGTAGAACCGATTCATCCTTTTACATTTCTGTCCCAGGGGATCACTCGGTGTCACCTTTTTTCATCTTTGGAACATACAAAACCATGTCATGTGTGCTTTAGAAAATGCGGTGTGGAGGACCGCCCCGCCCCCCTCGAGCCATTTCCTAACATTTTCACACCCACGTTAGTTTATCACATGATCACCAATTAAAAACCTGCAAACAGATTTCACGAGGAACATTAGCGTCTATCGGTCTACGAATGAAACACTGACGACACGCTTTCCCATCACGTGATTCCACGTAGCACAAGATTGTGTTGCGACCAGAAAATAAAGGTCAACGGATCTTCTCCGAACTGTTGTGCGCCTCTAACCCCGTTAGACATGACTGTGGAAGTGAATGGTACTATCAGCAAAAGCAGTTCACACACACACACACACACACACACCAATCCCAGGGTTGCCATTGCTTTTGATGAGATGATAACAATCATGTGGTTATCATCACGAGTACAAATTGCAGTGCATCTTTGCAATTGAGAAAAGGCAATCTCCAAACTAACAGATGAAATTGGCATGCAAATCATAGCATAATTGTGGTCGTGCTTGCGTACACTGTCATATCACGAACCGACTGAAACACGACCGGAAACCAAAGGAGGAACAGAGGGACTAAACCCATGCAGCGCGCACGTCTTATGTTGATATATATAATTGCCCGGTGTTGCAAATGAGATTATTGTGACGAAAATACACTGTCTGGGTACAAGTAATAGGTGAACTTTGTCTTAACCTTGGATTTGAAAAATGTCCCCACGTCTGTAAACATTTTCTCCCAGTTCATTATATACATTGTGACGGTTGGCGAGTATGATTTTTTAACTGAAATGTGAGCCTCAGTGCTTGGAAAAGTTATACAGAATACAATGCAATACAATACAATAGAAGCATATCAATGAACTGACGAAAGATTACAGGATACGCATGCCTGACGAGCGGCAAGAACCGCGAAACCGGTCGTGTCCTTCCTGGGAAATGTTGTCCGGTCATATATATATATAT